TTCCTTCCTTCCTTCCTTCCTTCCTTCCTTCCTTCCTTCCTTCCTTCCTTCCTTCTTTTCTTCTTCCCTTCCACCATTTCTTCTTTCTACCTGGGCTCTGTCCCTTAGTGTTTTCACTCAAGGCTTGTGCTCTACCACTTGAGCCTCAGTTCCACTACTGGGTTGTTTTTGTTTTGTTTGTTTGTTTGTTTGTTTTTGTCATGGGGCTTGAACTCTAGGCCTGGGTTCTGTCCCTTAGCTCTTCAGCTCAAGGCAAGTGCTCTACCACTTGAGCTACAGGGCCATTTCTAGTTTTCTGGTGGTTAATTAATAAGAGTCTCATGGACTTTCCTGCCCAGGCTGGCTTTTAATCCTCATATCTCTTATTACAGGTATGAGCCATCAGCACCCAGCTACTACTGGCTTTTCATAGTTAGTTGGAGATAAAAGTCTCACAAATTTTTCTGGGCTGGTTTTTAACCTTGATTCTCAGATCTTAGACTCCTGAGTAGCTAGGATTACAGATGTGAGCCACCAGCGCCCTGAAGCCTTAACACACTTTACTTTTCTCATATTTGCTGGCAAATTCTTGAGGCTGTATTTCCAAAGACTCATTTCATTTTCTATAAATGAAGCAAAACAAGACAATCCTGCAACTATCTCTATTCTTGCAGGGTCCAGAGCCTTCTGCTTGAGGACTAGGACTGTTTTGCATTCAGCAGCAGCCATTCCAGAGTCTAACTCTTGGTCCAGGAAGACAAGGGTCAATGCATCCTGGACTTGTCAGAGAACAGACCCAAGGGGAGAAAATATAGGGAATCTCCGGCAGTTCAACTGGGAAAGCATAAGCCAACAAGCTGGCACTAATTAAGGACTGCCTTACGATGGAGCATTGCCAAAGGATAACGACCCTCTGGCTGCAGCATAAATATCGAGACAATTGGGACAGAGCCAAGACATATATATTTTCAGAGAGTGTTAGATCCCACTGCAGTCTTCTTCACCCTTGCTCTGCTGGGGGAAAAAATGAGAGGATGTAAGATAGATAAAGAAGCCGGGTACCCGTGGCTCATACCTGTAATCCTAGCTATTCAGAAGGCTGAGATCTGAGGATCACAGTTCAAAGCCAGCCTGGGCAGGAAAGTCTGTGAGATTCTTGTCTCCAATAAACCACTAGAAAACCGGAAGTGGCACTGTGGTTTAAGTGGTAGAGTGCTCGCCTTGAGCTGAAGAGCTGAGGGATAGAGCCCAAGCCCAGAATTCAAGCCCTAAGACCAACAAAACAAACAAACAAACAAAATGCTATGTTCGGGGGCTGGGAAGGTAGCTCAATGGTAGAGTGCTTGCCTTGCATGCACGAGGCCCTGGGTTTGATTCCTCAGCACCACATAAGCAGAAAAAGCCAGAAATGGTGCTGTGGCTCAAGTGGTCAAGTGCTATCCTTGAGATGAAGGGCTGAAGGACAGTGCCCAGGCCCAAAGTTCAGGCCCCACCACCACCAAAAGGAAAAAAAAATTCTATGTTAGAAACAGCTGCCAGCCCAGTGCTAGTGGCTCACGACTATAATCCTAGCTACTCAGAAGGCTGAGATGTGAGAATTGCAGTTCAAAGCCAACCTGGGCAGGAAAGTCTGTAAGACTCTTTTCTCCAATTAACCACCAGAAAACCAGAAGTGGCACTGTGGCTCAAGTTGTAGAGTGCTCGCCTTGAGCTGAAGAGCTCAGACAGTGCCCAGGCCCACACTTCAAGCCCCACTACCAAAAGAAAAGAAAAGAAAAGGAAAAAACAAAAACAAAAAGAAAAAAAAACAGCTGCCATTTGCCTATGTGACCCCAAAGACAAGTTGTTACAGATGGAGGGTGAAAGTGCTTCCTGTGAACACATCAGTCTGGGATATGACACAAGATTGTTGGAATCAAGAACTATTTCTAACTAGATCCTGTCAGGCTCTTCCCATTCACACAGGCCTGTGGTTACTAGTAGCAAGATTGTACTGGGATGAGATGCTCACCCAGAGTCTGGAGCAAAAAAGAAAAACCCATCTGCATGGTGTGCAGCTTTCTATGAGGCTTTGTATACCATAACTCATGTAAACATATTGGAAGCTTTCAGGGTAGTTAAATTATTCTGTCTGTTTTAAGGCTGAGGAATTATAGGCCTGGAGGTGTCTTGCCTCCGCTGGTTGCTATGACATCAGAAAAAGAGCGAAAAATAGTCACTGTAGTTACAATGATGGGAAGTAAAGCTAAAAAAACCAAACCGGTAATTTGAGCTAGATCTATCTCAATCTCCCAGTAGGACTGAGAGTAGTTGTCAGGATGGCCAGTTCTGTTGTAAAAAAGTCCATAGGTCAGATTGTAAAAATAGATGGGAAGTTTGGATGATCAATGCAAAGTATGTGAACAGGAGAGAAACAACCCGCCATATCATCTGGGAAAATGAAACTCTTTGGCAAGACTTCACAACAGCTTGATTCAAAATTTCATAATGAAATTATGTCTCTGATCAAAGCCTGCATGAGCTCATGGGCTGATTCTTGCCATTTGTGTTTATTCTGGTTTGCACCAAGTTGAAGCAGCAGAAACACATTAACCTAATCTTCTCTCTTTGAGGAGGCTATTGCACCCTCGTTTGGGAGTCAAAGGGACAGTGTGGAGCAGAAGGAGATATTTTAGATTGTCACTAAACTCATGCCTTCTCCAATTAGCTCTCTGAGTTCCTTTACACACAAGTCAGGGTAGAGCCTTTCTAGTAAAATTGTGTTTAATCTCATAACACTTGCTTTTAGGGCAATCAAAGCAAAGATTAGGAGGGAGAAAGAACATCCAGCTCTCCTCTAGGACATGGCCTGCTTTGGGTCTAGAAAGAGTATTTTGTGGGTTTCTTAGCTTCAAATTCAGAGAAATGTTTAGTCATGACTCCAGCTAGAGAATCTCACTTTATAACAATTTTTTTTTCGTCGGTCGTGGGGCTTGAACTCTGGGCCTGGGCACTGTCCCTCAGCTATTCAAGGGGAGTGCTCTACCACTTAAGCCACAGTGGCACTTCAGGTTTTCTGGATAAGAGTTGGAGATAAGAGTTTCACAGACTTTCCTGCCCAGGTTGGCTTTGAACTGCTAGGATTACAGGCGTTAGCCACCAGTGCCCAGCTCCAGTTGTTTGTTTTTGACTTGTGTTACACTGTACAAATCCACACTTTCTCCCCTGTATTCTGGTTTATCCCAGGGGCATGATGATGGTCACTTCTAAACAACATGAACTACCACAGCAGAGGGAGGGTTCTTGATGAAATGTTGACATCTAGAGGATTTATTTTTGCTTATAGGAACAGAAATTGCTGTGTCTAGTTGCTCTTCTTTGTCCTCAGTTCAAGAGACATTTCCCTGTCTTCTTTTTTGGTATTTCTAGAGATTGAACTCAGAGCCTCACACTTGCTTGGCTAATACTCTACCACTTCAGCCATGCTCCCAATCTTTCTATTCTTTTTTATTTATTCAATGAGTAGTTAAGAAGTCTTTGTTTTAGTTCAGGTGTTTATTCTAAGCTTTACAGACAGTTAAAAAATTGTAAGTTGTCTGCATTCTAGTTTTGAGGGAACAAGTCAATTCGCTTGTAGATAAGATCCATTCAGCTAGTGCTAAGTACCCTTGAGTCAGTAAAGCAGAAGTATGTAACTGAATAACTTCAGAAAGTAGTTAACTTAGACATATGAGACAGGAAAGATTTCTTCCAAAAGAAAGTGTTGCCAGATTAAAAAAACAGGACAAATTTTCAATTTGAAAATTACAGATGAACAATGAACAAATTTTATTTGGATTTAGCTTATTCTAGAAAATGTATTCATTCTTTACCTGGAATTCCAATTTAACTAGATGTCCTGCATTTTTATTTGCTAATTCTTATACCTTACCAATAAATGACATTTGAGGGGGGAACTGAATAACCCAGTGAAAAGATTCAGGGAGTGATCAGCAGGTGTGAGTTATCTCAAGAATTCTGTAAGGCGTGGCAAGGAGTTTGGCCCCTCTCTTTCTTTCTCTCCCTCCTTCCCCTCTCTCAGATGATAAGCCATCTGACCATTAGAGCTCTTTTTTTCTTTTCCTAGCAAATCTAGGGCCTTGGGCATTCTAAGCAAGTGCTTTACTACCGAGCTACACTTCAAGCTTAAGGTTTTAAGCTCCATCATTCTTGGAAGCGTTAAAGGACAAACTCAGAAGATAAATCTGAGCCACTGGTCTGAAAAGAGGCTTTTTAATCTGGAGTTCTGAGCCGCTTGTCGGGGTAACTAGAAGGTTGCTATGGAGAGGCCGCTTAGCGGTTGCTAGGGTTGGAGGGGGCGGAGCTCGAGTGTGAATGACGTCAAAGCTCCAGGGGCGGAGCCAGAGCCTAGAGTGTCACGGAGCGCGCTGCGCGTTCACAGGAAGTCGAATGGGGGCGGGCATTGGTGCGGACGGAAGTGACGTATCTCCGCCGAAGTAGTCGTGCGTGGTTCACGCGGGTGACTTCGGCTGGGCCTAGCAAGTTCGGAACTCGTTCATCCAAAGTCTAAGTCAGGACTGTCCTGGTTACGTCGGCAAGATGGTGAAGCCCAAGTACAAAGGACGGAGCACCATAAACCCTTCCAAGGCCAGCACAAACCCGGGTAATGGTGGACGGGGGTGGGGGGGGGTGGTGGCGTGGCGGGGGTGTGTTGGGGGGGTGCACCTGGCGGCGCTGCTCGGGGAGGTGGAGGGGAGGGGGAAAGCGAGTCACGTGGGCGGCTGTTCTGCCCTCCCGCGTCCCGCCACCGCCCACAGGGGCACCCAGGGGGTCCGACAGCTGAACGCCCGGCCGGTCAAGGTGGGGAGAGGTGAACTCGGTGGCAGCCTTGGAGGCCCAGCCACTGAGATACAGTAAATCAGTTTAAAAGTGGCGTAGGACTGTACTCCCAACCCTTGGGAAGCTGAGTTCGAAGCCAGCCTGGGCTACGTAGTGAGACCCTATATAAAAAACAAAACCCAAAACCTTAGGCCCAGCTAGGAGGCCTTTCATACGTTGACCATACCTTCTTGCCACCTTAGCTTTGGCCAGTTAAGTGGGGAAAAAGATTGCAGATTTGTCCCATGGAATTATGCCGCTAGATAACGATCATTTTCGATACAGGTGTTTTCGCAGATGAGAACATGTTTTGCCGAGTTTCCACCACCAGGGTGAACAAGATGGGCTTTGGGGTAGTCTTTCATTTGAGTTTAGGCAATAAAACTTTATGGTTTAGAGCGTTGGTTTTTGTTGTTTTGTTTTTTTTTTTAAACGACAACACATGTCAGATGTTTCCCCTGGACGAATAATCCAGTTTGAGTATCCTGGAATCTCAGAATACTGGACCCAAAGAGGCCTTCAAAGATTGTGATTTTTTTACTGGTAAAGAGACTGAACCAAAATAGGAAAAGTGGCTTTTCTTAGTAAAGCTGCCAGTACTTCAGGTACATACAGGTGATAGGAGAAGCTAGGTAAAAATATTTTGCTTATTTATTTGCCTTTTTGTTTGTCTCTGACAAGTCAAAAATTGCTACTAATTTTAACTTATTCGCTTAAGAAATTAAGAACATGTTTGTATTAAAACATAGTGCATGCACCTGACACTCAGCATTTGATAAACTGAGACAAGAAAGTAAGTACCTACATGGTTAATAACCTAGATGGTGGTCACATGCTTTTGTGTTCTAATTCTGGCTCTGACAATTAGTAGGTGTTTCACTTTAGGCGAAATGCCTGAGTACTGTGCCTTGATTTCTTGGCCTTCAGCATGAGAATAATGTATCTCTCTATGATTATCACATGGATTAAATGAGATGATGTCTGCAATGTGGGTGAATTAGCAGTCATCATTGTTAAACCCAGTCCTTTTGGAGTTACAGATTGAATCAGTCAAGACATAACTCCAGTAGTAGTAATTTATTGGAGCAGAAATTTTCTAGACTTGCCTAGTCTAGAAAGATGCATTTTAAGCTGTCATACTTACGCTTTTGATTATTTAGTAGTATACTGTCAACTACTGTTATTCCTAGATCGAGTACAGGGAGCAGGAGGCCAAAACATGAGAGACCGGGCCACAATCCGGCGCCTGAACATGTACAGGCAAAAGGAGCGCAGGTGAGCATTGGGCATTGTCTTCCTTACCCCTTTCTCCTTTTTTATGATACTGTCCTTGACTTTGAGCTGAAACCTTGTAAGCTTCTAATGTTCCCAAACCCCATTGACCCCAAATAGGAATGGTATATTTTCAAATACCATTTTACATGAGCATTGTGATAAATCATTGATTCCTGGTTAAAGGCATAGGTCTGGATGGTGAAATGGTGATTGTTTCATACTTCCCAAGGTAGACATTTTGTTCCTTATAGACTAGGTCCACCAAGGGATCATTAAATTTCAGAGGTAATTACTATCAGATAGAAATAATAAAAAAAAACACGCAGGATTATTTATGAAAGATGCCCCCACCCTTTAAAAAAAACACCCAAAACCTGTTTTCTTGAGTCAGGCTTTAAATCACAGAATTGTGGCACTTAGAAACTCTTGAGTTCTACTGAGGCAGCATCTGCTCTAGGGACTTTCTGAGTGTGACATTTTGCTAGCTGGTCTAGATTTGTTTGGTAATTAAATTATCTATTCTAAAAGATGTGTCTTAAACAAAAACATCAGTAAATTTAATCTCTCTTGCTCACCTACTTTGCCGTTTGTTTAGAATTTTTGTTTTTTGGGGGAGGGGTCCGGTCATGGGGCCTGAACTCTGGGCCTGGGCACTGTCCCTCAGCTCTTCAGCTCAAGGCTAGCACTCTACCACTTGAGCCACAGCGCCAC